TCTGTTATGTTGAGACTGATCTGATACAGATGTTTCTGGGTCTTTGCAAAATGGACTATAGCAGGTTTTCTATTTTTCTATTGCATGGATAAATGTCACATTCAGGGAATTTACTCACATTAATGGACATGTTTGGGTCAGACTAAGTGCTGCCTTACATGTTCACAAAACTGTAAAGTTCCTGATCATTTAAATGAACAATGACAAATTAACAACTAAAATAAATTCGTGACACATACATTTTAGTCAGCATTTTAAAAAACAGCCCATAACATTTCAGTCAGCCCATATTAAAAATAGGCTGTTGGAATACCCTACTAAACTGTTTTTAATAGGGACAAACAGACCGTGACACACGTGATGAAATTCGAGGGAATTTCCAAACCGGAAATCCAGTGAATAAAGTCACAGCCGGTATATTAGATAAATACCATCACAGCGGATGTTCATCAACTTTTGAGAGAGTGAAGCTGTAGAATCCTCACACAACGGACCAACACAATCTGTAAGGGCGTTGTCTCAGTAAACGGGGTTATGGGGGAGAGGAAGATGGTCCAGATTTGGGACAATAAGGCGCAGATGGAGGGAATCACTGTGCAGAAGGTGAAGGAGAAAGTACAGGCGGAGTTTCCCAACATCCCAGGTAACACACAGCCTGCACCGAGGTTTAACTCTTGCAAATGTCCTAAACTATTACTTTAAGTAGCCTAAATAAAATAGGCTAAAGGTAGCGACTTTGTTTATAGCCACAGCACATTTCAAGTGCTTTACATGAGCAAACAACAACACTAACCGGTTTTATTCTGGTTTTCAGTGGTTTTTGTTAAGACGAAACACATTGTTAAAATGAAAATGTAAAACAAATAAGGTTAAAGATAAAAAACCAAACATTATCCTGTATAGATAGTACTATATAAAAACATACAGGCTTTCCTAAATAAAATTGCTTGTATAGATATTTTCCATCATCCCATAAAGGAGCATATATGTCAACAACATCTTCAACAACAGTTATATTTCCCTTGAAATCCAAGTGTCTCTGAACGTCCTGGCTTTAATGTGCATCGGGCTTTAATGAAGCTGATCTCAGTCATGTTTGCATTAAGCATCTTAAATGTTTACCTTTAAAGTCTTATGAATAGTTCGTGTTGGTGTCGCACATATTTGATTCTCCTTTCTCTTTTCTCTTTTCTCTCCTGTCTGTGCAGGACACGGTAAATTGCAGCTGTGCGTCGACGGCAAGACGCTGGATGACTCCACCCTGAAGTCTAAATGTGTGCCTTCTCTTGTCCTGCAAGAATTTATTATCCAGCTGGCGGTGAAGCTTCGCGGAGGGTAGACAGGTGGACAGAGAGACAACACCATCATTCCCACTGACAACATTTGCAGAACTTTATTCCACTTTTCACTCCTCGCTGATTCTACAGTTTGGGGAGTTGGGTTAATATGAAATAAAATCATGGAGTGATTTTTGACTCTACGTCTCTTTCTCGATGCTTGTCAACACATTAAATAGGGTCAATGAGTAGCCTTAGTGCCCTCTGGCGGCTGTTAGGAGTCATTGCATATTATATGATTAACAATAAAATATTTTAATTGTTATACTTTATTCATAAAAGGTGGTTTTATTAAGCTAGTGTGGCCATTAATGAGTTCGAGTACATAAATACACATTTCAGGTTCATACATTTCATCTCCCCCTCCTTGAACTGCCACCTTATTGTGGTGGAGGGGTTTGAGTACCTGAGTGATCCTAGGAGCTATGTTGTCAGGGGCTATATGTCCCTGGTAGGGTCTCCCAAGGCAAACAGGTCCTGGGTGACGGGTCAGACTAAGAGCAATTCAAAAGCCCTTTATGAATAGATTTAGATCAAGGACTGTGACGTCGCCCGGCATGGCGCAGCCGGGGCCTCACCCTGGAGCCAGGCCCGGGGTTGGGGCTCGAATGCGAGCGCCTAGTGGACGGGGCCTCCCCCATGGTGGCC